GAGTTGATTGACAGCGTCACACTTAGTGACCTTTGTTGCATGTAGGCGATGGTGGTTTATTTCCAATGTCTTGTCTGTTATAACAAGGACTTTGTGTCATTAACATAGTTTATTAGATTCTATAACAATTCATATAGACACACCATGTAAAAGTAAAGACATTCACACATTGTTTGAAAACATGCCCGTTTAATAATAACATCAGCCATAACGTGACGGAAGAGCAGAGACTGGCGGTAGATACTGACCCCAACTGATTGATGTCTTAAGGGGACGCTTCGATCTCTAATGTAACACCCCAGTGAAGAAAGACCAATTCTGATTGGCTCCCTGGGTTTGACGTTTGGACCCCCAGGCACAGCCATGTCTTAACAGAGAACCAATAACCATTAAAAGTGCATGCCCTGCATACTTGCAGGGATGAGTGCTTTGTTTCTTTGTATGCCTTAAATACATATACAATGGTATTTGCATTCACGTAATATCATGTAATTTCATACAATGCTGTTTCCTGAAAAGTTGTTTTTAGGTTCTCACCTCGTCATGTCGACTGTGATATTGAGCTCATTTTTAAGATTCAGTGAAACCGAAGTACTATGAAATCATACATGTAGGATTCAGTGAACCCGACATACAGTGACAGCTAACATGTAATATTCAGTGAATCTTCATATGTAAGATTCAAGGAAAACGCATGTGTAAGATTCAGTGATACCTTGTAAGATTCAGTGAATGTCCATAGGTAAGATTCAGAGATACCTAACATTCAATGAATGTACTTAGGTAAGATTCGGTAAAACCTGAGATTTAGTAAATGTTCATATGTAAGATTCGGTGAAAATTAAGATTCGGCGAATGTCCATATGTAAGATTCAGTGAATGTCCATATGTAAGATTCAGTGAATGCCCATATGTAAGATTCAGTGAATATCCATATGTAAGATTCAGTGAATATCCATATGTAAGATTCAGTGAATATCCATATGTAAGACTATGTGAATGCACATATGTAAGATTCAGTGAATGTCCATATGTAAGATTCAGTGAATGCCCATATGTAAGGTTCAGTGAATGCCCATATGTAAGATTCAGTGAATGTCCATATGTAAGATTCAGTGAATATCCATATGTAAGATTCAGTGAATGTCCATATGTAAGATTCAGTGAATATCCATATGTAAGATTCAGTGAATATCCATATGTAAGATTCAGTGAATATCCATATGTAAGATTCAGTGAATGCCCATATGTAAGATTCAGTGAATATCAATATGTAAGATTCAGCGAATGTCCATATGTAAGATTCAGTGAATGCCCATATGTAAGATTCAGTGAATGCCCATATGTAAGATTCAGTGAATGCCCATATGTAAGATTCAGTGAATATCCATATGTAAGATTCAGTAAATGCCCACATGTAAGATTCAGAGAATGCCCATATGTAAGATTCAGTGGATGCCCATATGTAAGATTCAGTAAATGCCCATATGTAAGATTCAGAGAATGCTCATATGTAAGATTCAGTGAATGCCCATATGTAAGATTCAGTAAATGCCCACATGTAAGATTCAGTGAATATCCATTTGTAAGATTCAGTGAAACATCACGTGTAACATATGATTAAATTTCGTTGACTCGAACTCAGTTGTATTGATGTATCATAGTATGAGTTCGACACTGCGTCAACACATCGTTTGTGTCGAAATAGGCATAAATCGACACGGTCGTTGATACCTAAAACTAACTATACTCTGTTGTGAGGGTAAGAAACATGTCGCGTATATATATACTGTCCACTTGAAGTCATTTATAAAAGTCGTTACCACACATAACAAAGTGTGTTTACTAATCAAATGTATCTCTATGTTTTTGAAGGATGATTACCAAACGGGATATAATGTTTAGAGGCTAGCATAATACTGTTACTACTCTAAAAGCAATTGTACGAATGCTTCCGGCCATTGTTGATTTCGCACTCGACTCCAAAATTGTTTTCATATATAAGCCGCTAACATGCAGTCGACTCTGGTCATCCTGCAATATGCTCGACTTCGAATTAACCACATGGCCCAGGTTACACTGAACTCTTTTACAATGCACCAACAAACTCGACATTTCAACCCCGTCGATGTTGAAATCGTAAGTTCACTATATATGTGATATTTGTGCAATTAGAAATATAGATTCTGGATGTGTTTCGATAAAAAAACAGTAAACGACCTTGAAACTGAAAAGACTGTACCCTCGGTAGAACCGAAGTGCGAGGTTGAACGGTGAGCGTGGAGGTGTGAGTTGTCGTTGGTGACGTGGGTTAAATCGATTTCGAGATATCCGTCTGATAAGACGACAGTAGAATCTATGAACATACAGCATACTGTTTAGTCCGGATATAACGATCGATATAACTATGTAAAGCGACTTAACGAAGCCAGTTGTATTTGTAAGTAGTGGCAATTAAATACATTTGCATACGGATATCAAAGTTTGGCTGAAATGAATTAAAGTATGGTTTTACGCCGCTTTTAGCACTGTTCAAACAATATCACGGCGGGACACACGAACTGGCTTTCACACAGTGTACCAAAGTTGGGAATAGAACCGGGGTCTACGGAGTGACCTACGAGCACTTTAACCACAATGCCACCCTACCGTCCCATGGGTGAAACGAAGTGAACTAGGCTGGATGAGTTCGATTTATCCGGAGCTGATTTTCTGAATTTTCTCAAATGGCTCCACTATATATTAATTATGACGATTAATACGAAAATAACATCACAGTTTGAACATATCTCCCCTGTGGAAACATTGTGCGAAAACGCATAAATATATATAAACATATGAACAAGGTATGTTTTAATATAATCACATATATCGTGCTGATTGTTCAAAGTAGGTAACCCGACATCAATTTGAGCAACACATGTAAAACCGTTTCGTGTCTCAGTCTTTAGAGTATCACGTTAAGCGCTAACAGAATATCACCGTGAAAGACAAACAAACACATTCAGGCAGCAGTAATGAAAATGTGAACAAAGGTTAAATATCATGACAGTCACTTGTTATTGGATGTCACAGTTTAATCCATTGGAGAAATCACCTTTGATATTTGCGAGACAATGAAATTAAAAGATTTATGTCATTTCATTCACGGAAATCATGTGAAGAGATATCACGACAATTGAATTAGCACACGCAGTTCCACCCACAAGCTTATAGTGTTCTAAAGCATATCATATCGTATCCGCACTTGGGGCAGCGCGACCCAATATACCAGCCCAGAACGAGCCTTGAAATCAATCGGGAGAATCCGTATTTACCAAATAAGGGCATATTTGTTACGATCAAGCAAAACAGAATTCAATGAGAATGTTAAATGGGGCAATGTATGACAAACTGGCGATATCGATGTCCCTGAACAGCTTAAGGTTTCATATTTCTGTCAATGCCGTACAGTACATAGGCCCAAACCGTGACTTTTTATATTTGAAAACAATGACAGGTCGATGCTGGCTTTCTATGAAATTACACATGAAGACTTTTTAGTGCTATATATTCCCGTTAAAAAACATAGGAGGATGGGGCTGGGGCGTATTGGGGTGAGTATGGGGAGGTATTGGGGGTGAGGAATGACAATACCGGGGTTGGGGAGTTGGTGGGGAGGAGTGTGTGTATGTGTGTATTGGTGAGGGGGGGGGGGGGGGGGGGGGGTAGGGGGATGTCCTATGACTAAGCATAACACATACCGCGCATGCTGTGAAAGGCACACGATCAACAGAATGTCAAAATACACTGTGACACCTTGAAAACATTCCACATACCTCTGTCATAAACACACGTCATTACATCACACAGAGGTGTAATATACATCAAGTACAATATGCCTGAAGTGTTCCTATCCGGTGGACGAGGACGACAGATTTACAGTGTCCAGATAAAGTAGGTTGCAATTAGCAGACATTGTGCTATAACACACAACACATATGTCTACCTAGTATACACGCACACGTGCACGCGCGTGTTTGTGTCGTTTAGCAGTATTTCGTTCGGCTGTAGTTCAGCTCTGTGGCGGCAGTCTGTAAATAATCAAGTCTGGATCAGACAATCCAGTGACGTCATCAGCATCGATTTATGAAATTGGGATATGATGACATGCATCAATCAAGTCAGCGAGGCTGATCATCCGATCCCGTTAGTCGCCTCTTACGACAAGCATAGGTTACTGAAGAAAAAGTTCTGACCCGGATCTTCACGGGACATAGTCTGTATGAATAAATGTACTGTCCTGAACCCAGTATAATCAATACCTGAAAATAGCAATGTATACAGTCGGGATATAACGGAATCTGATAATAATAACAGCCAGTCATAACGAGTATACGTCTTCTTATTTTCTTTTAAACCTTTAAAGAATAATTAGTCTTAAGATTTTACCAAAGAAATATATTGTTCGCTAGACATGTTGGATGTCAGGGAAAACTGTGTGTTTTAAAACAGTTTCTCAACTGCCTCAAACAGCCCCGCTTCTCATAGCTTATAGTGAGTGAATGAGTATGGTTTTACGTCGCTTTTAGCAATATTCCAGCAATATCAGGACAGAGGACACCAGAAATTGGCTTCACACTTTGTACCCACGTGGGAAATAGAACCCGGGCCTTCGGCGTGACGAGCGAACGCTTTAACCACTAGGCTACCCGACCGCCCCTCTCATTGGCTATTAGGAAATACTGTATTTTGATGGTTTCTGAATCGAGTGCATGTAACGAATAGTTATAGGTACTACTAGTAGTAACAAAAGTTGAAGAGGGTTTGCCTTTCCGTCGTTAATGAATGAATGTGTCGGTTAGTTTATCAAGTCTTCACGGAAAAATAGGGCTTCAATGAAGAATATCCATGTGTGGATTCTACCCGGACTGAACAGTCGCACTGCTGCATGTCTACCCAAGTCTTTAACACTCCAAAAGGTCATCATAACCTAAACAAAAAAATACACTTACAATGAATGGTAACAATAAGCTCTATTCAATGTGACACGTACAGTTTGACGTTTGCTGATATACAAAGGGAGGTAAGTACCCTTAGCACTTCCGGTCGTCCATGTTGTATGGCGAAGATAGTATAAACGTTTATAACAATAGAATTGGCATGTAATAACATTACAAATATAAACAACTTGAATCATGTGTATAGGATGTTTGCAATGTGTAACAAGTAGAATAAAACAATTAAATAATCACAACAAATGCCATTGTTTTGTTTCCTCGTGTTGGCGCATCACAACACAAGTCGTAAGTCATGCCCTTAATGGACTTATTGACTTAAATGAACAATGTAATAAAAATACATATAATAAATGGAATTTCACAAATATCCTTTAGAGATGAGCATACTCATACAATCAACATAAAAACACTAGGTTTACAAGTTTGCCAGACTTCATTCGTTGACTTTGCATTTTTTGCTTTCTTTAATATGTCCTATTGCATAGCACTTGTTTAAAATGCTACATCAGCAGTAAATGAATCATGCATTAATATGGCGGTGAAATTTAACAGTTTCATGTGAAACTCGTACAAACAATTGTATTCAAGCAATCATTGTCCAAAATCCACCTGTATCATCGCAATCTAAAAACAATTACTTTCAATTTGGGATAAAACAGTTGGTTAATCCCCCTTGTATATGGCGGGGGCAGGCATGTTAAAGGTGTATTCAGGATATATGTACTATAAGCAAAGGCCAGGTGGCAGATTGATTGAAACCAATATGTATTGGATATATTCTTGATGTAGCGGCCATAAAACTTCCGAGTACCGTGATGGGATTCGAACCACGGACCTTCTGACCCGAGGTCGGACGCCTTGTCCACATGACCAAAGAGGTTAACCCCGTCAGCAAGCTCACAAGGTAAGGATGTCATCTGTGGGATGACTCTAAGCTCTGCTAGATACTCTCCCGTCAACAGAAGACACGTCCCGGGCCGCATAGTAGGGTACTTTGTCTTATCTTGTTCTTATTTAATATAAACGTGCTCAGCCCTACGTTGGGCGCAAATGTAGCGGCCATTAAATTTCCGAGTCCCGTGATGGGATTCGAACCGCGGACCTTCTGATCAGAGGTCGGACGCCTTCTCCACATGACCAAAGAGGTTAACCCCGTCAGCAAGCTCACAAGGTAAGGATGTCATCTGTGGGATGATTCCACGCCCTGCTACATTGACTTCAGTTATGGCCGCATTTGGACAGACGGTTCATAGGTAATTTATCAAGTTCAGTAACGGTAAACATCACGTTTGGAGCAAGGGTTCCCAAAGTTCCCAAAGCAACAATGGACATCACTGAAAGCTGAATTGGGAGACGGGTTTACCTTCCATAAAAAATGGACATCACTTTAAGCTAAGTTTGGAGAAAATTTCCCAAGGTCGCTCAACACATTTCAGCAACAATGGACATCACTTCAAGCTGAATTGGGAGAAGAGTTCACTTCTCATAAAAAATGTGGACATCACTTCAAGCTGAATTGGGAGAAGAGTTAACTTTTCATCAAAAGTGATCATCACTTCAAGCTGATTGGGAAAAGAGTTTATCTCTCAGCAAAAATGGACATCACTTTAAGCTGAATTGGGAGAAGGGTTCGCAAGGTCGCTCAACTCGTTTCATCAAAAGTGGACATCACTTCAAGCTGAATTGGGAGAAGAGTTTACCTCTCTACGAAAATAGACATCACTTTAAGCTCAGTTTGGAGAAGGGTTCGCAATGTCGCTCAACTCGTTTCCGCAACAATTGTAATTTCTTAAAACTGAATTCGGGGATGGGTTCTCTTTTCAACAAAACTGGACATCACTTCAAGCTGAATTGGGAGAACGGTTCACCTTTCAGCGGAAAATGGACATCACTTTAAGCTCAGTTTGGAGAAGGGTTCACTTTTCTGCAAAAAATGACATCACTTATGGCTAAGTTTGGATCAAGGGTTTCTTAGGTAATTTGTCACGTTCAGCAAAGGTGGACATTACTCAACTGCTAAGCTTCCAAAAGGGTCCCCAGGACATCCATCAAAGCCATACAACTTGAAAGATACGGTAAAATTAATAATGGCTTCGCCAGGTGTGTCAATAGCTTTTAGATCTCATCCTTTAAGCTAATATGTATACGATATCACCCACCCACAGACCACTGACGTCGGTGAGTGCGAAGATTGATTTTGCCCCATTTGTGTTTTTGATAGGCGGAGGACACATTAGAGAGATCTTAGTTAGCTAAAGTAACCTGCTCGTGGCACATGCCTGCTTGCACTGATATCTACCATGGCCCCAGGTGGATTTGTAGTCCTTGAACATGCTAATGTTTCGTCGTCAAAGCGTTGCCGATAAGATGTCGTAAATGTCACGAGAACGAATATTTTGCCAGAAATCTTTCACATCAAACGAATGGTGAAATTGAAACTAAACCATTCGTTGTATGTGAACATGGAACTGACAGTCAACGTTAGCAATGCGATAACCCGAAACTACAGACTTTTGGAATATCGTATGGGTGATTATAGTATTGATCCTGATCTTTAGAAGTAGTTCCTGGAAATATGCAGTTTGTTCGCCTAGGCTTCGAGGTCCGTGTATTATTTTCATTTGATCATGTCTCTGAGCGCGACATTCTCGTGAGATACTTTCTCTCAAGCTCTTAATGCCGCCAACATATTACTCCAAACAGCGAATATCGACCACGTTCTGTCCTGTTTAACAAGTGGGAACAGGTTCGACTGTCAACTGAAACGTATTACAAGGATCTAGGCTAGATTAGACTTGTGATTGTAGCTTGGTGACAGAAGACTCATAATGCAGTGACCGGAATAACGCGCAGTGGCAGGGTGTCGTCCTAACTTTCAGGTTCTGTCCCCTGACAATTATCATGTTTTGAAGAGGTCTGTAGGTCTAAATGGTCGACCTCCGCTATCGAACGACTTCAGCTTAACGACAAGGGGCAGAGATGAGGTAATGGAAACTATTTTATATAAAAGAAAACCCAGTCATGTGAGGGAGGCACGATATGTCTGGGGTTCTTGCTGTTACTCCACGCAAATCGATTCTGTCATTTTACTTGTTATTGAGACTTCAGAACCAAACAACCCTTAATGGCGGGTAAGCATATCAGTGAATTATCCCAGATAATTTGTGAGTTGTTTAGCCAAAAGAGGGTCAGTCGCTATTGAGATGCCGCAATCCTCAACAATCGCTTGATTGTATCAGCAAAAGCTTGTAATTCCTCTCGCTTTATGCATATCACATGCCCGAGCTTCTTAGTAGCAGACGACAATTGTCGGCTGCTTCGGCGGCAGTGAGCAGACGATAGAATTGTCCAATCGATCGTTTAAACAATACACTGTCTCGTGAGCGCTCCTTGTTTTCATGTAGAAACTGCGAAATACGCCAGTGGAGTAGATGCTTCCATTGCCGAGAATACAATGACACGCGTTCTGGTCATGCAGACACAAACACAATCGTAACTCTACACCCGGTGATATGTACTGGAGCGTCAAGGAACACCGCCATCTGCACAGGCAAATGATTATGATACATTCAAGGAGCGTGTGGTGTATACGTCCGTTTACGAGCCATTTGTACCTATCTCTTCACATGTAAGACAACATTCTCCCATAGGTCCTTCTCATCAATCGGATTTTACTGTATCTCTAATGTTTGTCCGATGACATTAACAGCGGGCGTTCTTGTCCTTTATTGCAAACGAGCATTTTCTGAGTATATGTTGTTCCTGGACTAACTAAAGGGTCGCGGCAACGCAACACAGCAGTTGTCCTGGAGACAATGGGTCGTGGAGACAAGTATTCATCTCTCTATGACGGTTCAGAAGGCCACAGCATGGCGAGTGAAAGAGCGACAGATGGTTATGTCAGCCAATCAGTCGAGGATTTATTGAGATATACATCTCCTGGTGTCTTTACATCTCAGACATTACCATTGCATTAGATTGGTCTTCAGAAGATAGTACGATGTCAATAATACGATGGCATGACAGATTAACTATAGTAATATGAAAATATAGGGTGTCCTCAACTTCTTTTGAGTAGTATAGAAAATAGAAAAACTCACATTTTCTCAAATAGTATAACATAAATTCCAGAACATTCATTAACAAACCATAATTTGTTGGCTAAATCATTGTAGTCTGCCCAAGTATTTATTCGCAATTTATTTTCAATTCGTAATTTCGAAACGCTTACGTATAAGTACACGTCAATAATCCTATAAAAGAAAGTTCTAACCGAGAAATGAGTTTGATAAATCTGTATATTTACCAGCTGAATTTGGCTCTTTTAGCTTTATATTCATGTACTTGCATTGTCACAGCATATGAATCCCGCAAGGCCCGGGGCAGTGATGCTCGGTGGTATTGAAAGGAGTATTAGAAAGTCCAGACAGAACGTGATGAGAAACGATAACGAGGGACCACCACTAACCGAAAACCTAGTTACCGGGAAATAGTATCACTGATCACGACCAGAACGGAAAACAGACTGAAATATGTCTGTTTCTGAAATAAGACGCAACATGAGAGTACATTACTTAACACAATCTCCAGCCAAAGTTGTGTGTCTTATTTAATTGCGAGTGCGTAAGTTGGGTTTCAACACCCCTTTGAACAATATTTCAGTTCTATTACCATGTGCCAGCTTCATGTAGTAGGAAAGCCCAAAGTGATTCCAACGTTTATCAGAAGCACGGTATGGTGCTGGACAAACCAGGAATCATAAATAAACGGATTTTGGCTTCGGATCCTGGCGATCCACCGCGAATTGTGCTCTTGAATTGACAGATCGGCCTTCTCATACCTCACTTTGGACCACTGTTACTGACTGTTCACTAGCTGTTCACTAAATTGAAAAATAAACTTTTCCTATGTGGTCCAAATTCAAATTAAGGTACGCGAACAACACTCAAATAGAACAAAATACACATATTTAACAATTCAATACTGTCATTTGTTGTTGTATGAAATAACTATGAATATACACGGCCTGTATTGAAAATATAAAATAATTGTATAAATTATGGTATTATGCCAATAAATACGATTGCAAAAGAAATATAATAACAGTCGAAAGGGTGTGATGACCGCAAATAACACTTTAACATGTTCATGTAGTGTTAACAGTAAGATAAATAAATTCCAAAGTTGTTTTTTTCACGCAAGGGTTACTAAACTGCCGGGCTAAAGAAAGTAAACACTTGAAAATTGAATTGACCAAATTATCACAAACGTTATCGAACGTTACTAGGCTGAAAACATTCGCCGAAACACCGCAAACTTAAGATCCAAAACACAACTATGATATTCGTGTCAAATACATCACCATCGAATAACAATTTCTCTTTTGTTTCATATTTCATTTTCAGCCACCATCAAACATGGGTGTATACTTTCTTTGCCCGGCAGTTCGTGTCGATTGTTCAACATCATCGCCCTACCTTCAGTGTGACTCACTATCATATCGGCGTTACACATCTTGAAATGATACCGCTACCTCTACCTATCTCATATGTCATGTTAGGTTCCCGCACCTTGCTCAGCGAGATAACATTGTGAGGGCAGGTACTTGCAGATGACATATCAACCCTTAAGTTGAATTATTAGTTAACCTGATATTGCAATCCCGTATTAAAATGTGGCTGTGGTGGGTCTGACAAGATATGTCACACAACGCGCCAAACATCATGTCACACAACGCGTCAAACATGTCACACAACGTGTCACACATGTCACACATCGTGTCTAACAACATGTTTCACAACGCGTCAAACATGTTACACAACGTGTCAAACATCATGTCACACAAAACGTTAACCATGTCATACAACGTGTCAAACATGTCATACATCATGTCTAACAACATGTTACACAACGCGTCAAACATGTGACATAACGCGTCAAACATCATGCCACACAACGCGTCAAACCTGCATACAACGTGTCAAACATATCACACATCGTGTCTAACAACATGTTACACGTTATAGCAAGGATCATGTGATACATCATGTAACATGCCACACATTATACTTCATGTGACACTGACAGGTCAAACATCTGTCAAACAACATGTCACACAAAATGTCACACAACATGCCAAACATCATGTTACAAGTGACAGCAATGACCATATGACATTGACATCATGTCAAACATGTCACGCAAGATGTCACGCATCCAGTCACACCTGTCCAGCTTATGAAGTACATGTGAACGTGATTCAGATTAGGCGGTAAACATAACCATCCTCTCGTCACATCAAACCCATTTCTATTCAAAATAAATGTAATATTGTAATATATATTCTTAGAATGGAAATGAAAGTGAATATCTCCAGATAACAGAAACAAACGATCTGAAACGGCAAAACCCTGAAATATTTCAGGAGATCATTTCTGAGATGGAATGTTGTTTGCCATACATGGCGATGTCACTCCGGACAAGAGATCGCCCCATGAATTGGTATTGATCACAACAGAAAACAACCCGTTCTGTCAAATCGTACGGTTCATCATCTGTCAAATAGATTGCCGAGCAGACTAAACCAATTAACACTATATTCCATCAAGCTGACATGGAAGTCAAAAATAATGTTCATATGGAAAGTGTTAACTCTGTCGTTGGCTGTAAACTCATTACGTTAGTATATATATTTGATGAAGTGCTAAATGAGCTATCACCTCCTTTACTGACCGCATAGGACACAAATCACATGCAATATTAATCAGTTTCGTTCTATTTGCAGCAGCTCAAATACAAACATTTAAAAAATAGTATAAAAAAGATTAACCATTTGTTATAATAATTTCATAATATAAACATATTTCATAATATAAACACATTCATAAATACATATATATAAAGGAATGCTTGTGTTTGTTCCAACTGAACACCTATTCAGGAAAACAATTAAAATATGACCAATACCAAACTTCAACGACTTGAACAGGGGTTATTCTAGCAAAGGGTTTGAAGTCATGACAATATAGAGAGTACCAGTTGAAACAGATTCATGCCATGGCCTAACTGTGTTCTTCTACAGGAACTGTGCTTGTGGATGCTTTCTACGTCAAAGAAAATGTTTCTTACAGATCCTCGACATGTTGATATTTCTCCCTTTGAAAATAGGTACAACAAAACACAGGTAGTTACTCCAAATCCACATTAGCTCTGGTCCAACAGAACATGAAACAAATATAGAATGTCATTGTCCTTCTCTAAACTCCACAACACAGCAAAGAATCCGTACGGAAAAGTGATACTCAACAAGATTACTCAACACCCACGACACTCGCCTTCCTTGACATATATCATCTGGTTTGGCTTGATAATTCTGGTAACAACTCCACTAGTTTAAAGTTAGGTATTCACATTTCTGATTAACAGCTATTTTAATGATCCAATCAGCTGAGTTGATAATCGATACCTAACCTTGGTAAAGTTGGAGGCCAGGCCATCGGAATTTGACATTGATGGTGCCATTATTGGAAATACAGGACATTCAGCGTTCATAGTCATAACTGTACACGTTAATAATTGAATCACTCACTAACTTCCTTTTGCGGTGTTTTATCCATATCCTGTAGCCATTGTCTAATTCTTCCATCTCTAAACGATTTGGGTCCACGTTTATAGCAAACAATATGCTGTCTATAAGCCTCGTCGTACACCTCCTCGAATGATTTATCATTGGGAAGTTCATCATCGTCAAGGCTATACGTCTCGGTGGACTCGGATGGAAGGAGACACAGCTTAGCTTCTGTGATGTCTCCTCGTTCTAAGGATTCCTTCTGAGCAGCCTTGAGATTGGCACAGGATTGAGAGGCCCGGGTCACCACGGAGTCACCACTAGTTCGATCCTCAGGGTAGGACATTAAACGCCGGAGTTGAGCAGCCTTCTCGCCGGTAGGCTCGGCGAACCTGTCCGACATAGACGTGCTGTCTGACGAGGAATCGTTGGATATTAATCCTATGCTCCTTGCTGTGCATTCACTATTAAGAGATATAGCGCTACCCACCCGGCTTGAGCTGGAGAGTACTCGCAGTGAGTTGGATTGGTCAAAAGCTTCCAGCCATTCCATGTCCTTTTTATTCGGATCCCTGTCCAGGTCCACGGACCTACGGGTCATTCGGGGGGAACAGAACACACCCAGTTTAGAATCGGACCCTCCATCGGAGTTATTTTCACCGAAACGATCAAGTGCCAAGTTTGGCATTGAAGCAGCCGGTAGCCCCATGTCTGTCTGGTAACGGGATACAACACATACATCCGGGTCCCCACGATCTTTATCCTCTAACACAATTTTGGGTATGTTAGTCATTTCGCTGGTTTTCGGCGCAGACGACGGTCGTCGTTTGTTACTCTCGTCCGTCTTCCTTGGGTCTGCCGCCATACTCGGCTAGCTCCGGCATACAGTTACACCATGCCAACCTCGTGTGTCGCACCATCGATTGCCGACCGACCGCCCGTCCGCCGCTCGCTAGTCGTCTTTTTCCACTTGATCTGAAGGCTCTCACCTTCTGCAAGAGTCGTCTCGCACTGTCTCTTCACGCCCGCTGTCCATGGACCATTCAGAGGTAGCAGAAGATTATTCCCTGGGCGAGGTCTCATCAAACACCGTGAATTGTGGAATCATATTAACCGTGATGAATAACAACAGGACAAGATGACCTAAACAGCTTAAGCAGAGCTTTTCATTCAGCTGGAAGAGATCTCGTGAGCGGCACGGGTCCTGTAATACACCGGCGTGTAGTAACGTTGTCACCCGCCTGCGACATATCACACGGTGGTAACAATACAATCGTCATTGGTTGAATCCTTCTAATCAATCACACCTCTATCGCAATTCAGCTAGTACAGGCACAGTCCGACCAGGACATGATGGCGGGGCATGCTGGGTCGGAATCAATACCATTACTGCCTTCCGCTGTCGGCGAGACACGTCGACAGTCAGCGCGCAGTTTGTCAGTTAAACTGCTATTGTACAGCCGATAGCGATAAAATGATGTATGGCGTTCTTCGAACAGCAATTTGTCCAATCAAAATGTGCAGTTGAGATTATGACTACCTGTTGTTATGATCAATACATCCGGATTAACTCGTTATATAAAAACAACAATAGATTGTTTTGACATCAGTGGTAATTAATGAGATCAGCTGGGGTTTATATCATAATAAACAGTGATCGATCGCCCATTGTCGAGGGTACGCTGTGTATACATCATTGTCGACTTAAATGCATTTTATCTTGAATGTCATCCGGGGTGTGTTTTGCTTATAGTGTGGTGTTAAGAATGCTGTTGACAGGGTAACACAGTATTAGCTTTGCCTCGTATTAAGTTTGCCCGTGAAAAGCTCAGTTAGTGAAGCATTAGTTCAAAAATAATGTTAAATGCGAAGTTATAGGTACATTTACATATTCAATTTCAGAAAGAAATGGACTCTCGAATCACGCCTTTAGGAAATAAGCTTTTTATTTATTTGATTAATGACTCAGAACGTGACATTTAAAGAAGGTAATTATATACTAGTATATGAGCTATCTAATTTTGCGTTTTGCCGTATTGATGGAATAACATCTTACGTGTACCTTAAGTTACGTCATGGTGACAGCAATCTCACACGTCTCGTGACAGCAATCTCATACGTCATTGTCACAGCAATCTCACACGTCATGATTACAGCAATCTCATATGTCATGGTGACAGCAATCTCACACGTCTCGTGACAGAAATCCCATACGTCATTCTGACAGCAATGTCACATGTCATAATGACAGCAATCACAGACGTCATGGTGACAGCAATCTCACACGTAATGATTACAGCAAACTCACACGTCATGATAACAGGAATGTTACACGTCACAATGACAGCAATCTCAGACGTCATGGTGACAGCAATCTCACTCGTCATGATCACAACAATCTCACTCGTCATGATGACAGCAATCTCACACGTCATGGTGACAGCAATCTCACACGTCATGATGACAGCAATCTCACACGTCTCGTGGCAGCAATCGCATACGTCATGGTGACAGCAATCTCACACGTCTCGTGACAGCAATCTCACACCGCACGGTGACAGTAATCTCACTCATCATGATGACAGCAATCTCACACGTCATGACGACAGCAATCTCACTCTACGGTAGGTGGGTACGACATCTAGGGACATTGTTCACAAAATATAAGATTGCGATAACACCCATGTACAGGCAGAAAAGGATCCTTATCGGGGAAAGATACGAATCGACGATGCTGACACGGCTAAGGGAGACAACTTTTCACAACGAATTACAAACAGGTTAATTAACCAGATTAATTTGAGCATATCTTAATAGTTTAACGGCTATTTGTATTCAATTACATACTTTCTGTTATCGTTTTACGAGAGACGTTTTGTTGACATAGTTATTTTTTCTTTGTATATGTCTTTTTTTCTCCTTTTCACCTAGTTATTGCACTTTTATAGTTTGAAAAGTTTTTTTTTATGTAACTCCGCACTCAGCCTTCCAGCTATACGACGGTGGTCTGTCAATAAACGAGTCTGGACAAGAAAATCCGTCAGAGGGTGGGGGAACTTATTTTATTGTTGTTTGCATAATCGGTGATTGATATAATTCTAAACTTCAGGTAGGTAGGTATTGTCCCACTGAGCGGTGGAGTGTATAGACATATCTTGTGCATGACACATCCAACTGTGACTTGTCCGTCACAAAATTCTATTCAAATTAATATGAATCATACTATCTTCTTCGCAACCTTTCATCAAAATATAATACCTTGTAAAAGTCGGTTACAATTCGAAGCCCCATAAAGGTGACAATTGAAGCGTATAAAATTATATGCCTTTACATCGGGGCTGTCAGTATTTGAACTGTCAATGCATGCTCTAGCAATGACAGTAGGTTTCTATTTATACTCAAGGACACAAGTAACTGTGATGTGCTTTTATAAAATTAAGGGGAACTTTGGAAGCGTGTTACTCAAAACACCGTTCGTTTTTAAGCTTTAATATTATACTGGTGTTTACATGGGCTGAATATCGACCCGTTTGAGTGAGTGGGTGAGTTTGGTTTTACACCGCTTTTAGCAATATTCCAGCAATATTCCAGCAATATCACGGCGGGGGACACCAGAAATGGGCTTCACACATTGTACCCATGTAGGGAATCGAACCCGGGTCTTCGGTGTGACGAGCGACACTTTAACCACTAGGCTACCCGACCACCCATTTGACCTTCTAAATTTAAAACAATGTTCATAAATCCCAATTATTAGTTATCCCTTCCATGACCAGAGCTCGTTTAGTCTTTGAGTATACTTGAATTGTAGACACTGACTGGCGAGACAGTGCGAGGCTACTTGCATGTGGTATCGCCAGATGTTCTCGAGGCTGTTACAGAGAATGTCAAAGTACGGACCCTGTCTGGTCTCACGGTGCATCAACTGCACACAAATCCAAGCAAGGAATAATAATTGCCTACAGAGCTAATTTTGCGATCCAAATTCTGTATAATTGCCAGATAACTTCAGTAGGATATCCCCCCCCCCCCCCCCCCCCCCCCATAGGAGTTTCGTAAAAAAAATTCGTAATGATATAAGCAGCGGTCCAACATGTCGTTTTTAAAACTGGTTCCCAGCTCAGTGTGCGCTGCGACTGAGGTATGTAGAGACGGAGCCAAGTAACGCGTGAGCTTGCTGTCACCATGCGTTGTGAGGTTGCTGGCATCAAGACGTGTGAGGTTGGTGTTGTCATGACGTGTGAGATTGTTGTCATCATGACGTGTGAGATTGTTGTCGTCATAACGTGTGACATTGCTTCAGTGTTGCGCTTTTCCTTGAAAACGGTCAGCACAGGTGCTAATTCATTGAAACATTTGTTTTTTCCACTTTCCGATGCTTTTTCCAGAAGGTGTATTTGATACATTTATGGGGCATGTGATATGTGGTGCTTGTTGTTTTGACATCATATGTTGACTGGTCAGTTCCTTTAAAAGCTTTTATCCCGCTATCCGGACTCACATTCAACAATACCCAAGACACGTGTAGTATTATTAATATCTATGTATGAGAAAGCATAGTATGGAATATATTTTAAATGTAAGGGCGAACATAATATGCAATTAGACCCGTGACATGTTAAGATATATTAGGGAGCAATTAAGTTCTAATATTTCCTGTTTCCATCTGTATACACATGCATTTACCATAAAACTAACAGAGTGCTTTAAAGATTATTTTTGTTTGGATCAATATTAATGTTAATCAAATGTTAGAAGATTAAGAGGATATGCAGTGTTAATTTGTTTATGGAACCATAATCTGACAGTCAGGTACAACAAGGAAAGTGAATACTGCCTGTTATGAAATACCTAATTTTACAGACATCCATCAAGTGTTTATTAAAGGTTCCTTTAACGACGCCCTAATCCACGCTTGGTTCTCGCCATGCAATTAATTTTGATAAACGATCTATTAAATTCATTCAATTTTTTACGCTTCTGCTATTTGTTTGAACAATCCGAATTGAATAACGTGACAAAGATATATTCCCAACGTCATCTATTTGCAATTTTTTGAATAATATTCAATAATATCTAATGCATAAAAATACTACTACATGTAAGTATGTTTTTGTTAATAATTGGTATCCATATATGTCAATGCCAAACATATTTCCAACTGCTCCACATATTAAATTCACACAAAACAACAGACAACGTAAACACAAAAGCAATGAAAAAATAAATGTAATGAATTGGCGCTTGTGAAATAGTGCGCCGCCGCAGGCAAATTAAGTAATTAATTATTGAATTGTTTAAACATCACTCTTACAATGCAATCCCACAGCTTGTTGTGTCGACGCTAAGATTGAAGAGCGTACACAAGCTGGCACACCGCTGCGCCGTGATGACTTGGCATTTTTAATTACCATCCCTGATCGAACAGTCAAGTTGAAATTTAATTAGATAATGCTTCGGTATGTTTCTAGTCAATATTCGCCCATTCAATTTTCCACCAATCGGAACGCTAGTTGTCCGTCATTGCGAACATGAACTTCCGGTAACCACGTGACCCTACAAACAAGGTTTTTTTCTTATTCCTATGTAATATCTGTAAATATATAAAAACTCAACTCTCAGGTAGTATAGATAAATATAAATATTGATATAAAAATAAACTTGAAGTAAATCAACCCTGTTATGTCTGCCTGTCTGGTCTGAAGAGGCTCGATGGAGCTGACAGCCCTCGCCTATAATTAATTTACTCCAAGACAGACATACATTTTATTCGTATATTTTTGCCTTGAGGCCAGTTGTACAAAGACAGTGTTACAAAAAAATATGCACAGAAATGCATGTAAAGATCATTAAAATGCAATTCTATACAGTTGTAGACAATTTTCGTTTATCTTTTGACACTTTGTTTAAACAAATAGCGTGTGGTAAAAATGTGTTTGTATTTATTTCTTTTTAAAGATGTACACATTTTTGTTGGCTAGAGTTACTGGTATAGATAGAACATACAAAGAGCATATAAATAAAATATGAAATTCATCTTCGTGCAAGTTCAAACAATATTGGTACACAGCTATACCAATAGCATTAACGTTTGATCTTAAAAGCAGTTAAATATATAAATTAAAGATACCACATCTGAACTTTGTTAAGGATCTTCGTAGTTGCGACGATGATAAAGCGTGTAGATAGAACTCCGAAGAATGTTAGATTTAAATGTAGAGTATGTGTATTACACGTTAGAGTTTGCCATGACAGATGACCATTCTTGAAAGTAAATGTACATGTCTTTATAACGATGTTCAAAAAGAGAGAAAAATAGTTCCAGGTTTTCAACACCTTGAGAAGTCCAAGCGAAGGAAAATCCGTATCTGAA